TAGAAATGAGCAGCTGCAAGGAAAAAATAGGTCATGCCAAAACTTCTCTCAGCAAAAAGGTGCAACCATGGGATTAAAGACCAATGCCTGTGTTGACACTATATAAATACACCTCCGAATCRCATCTAATTTACAATGCTACATGCAAAGCAAAATGTGGTTGGATCACATCAGGTGACAGACAGTGGCAAGAAGAAATRCACAACGAAAGGTGGCCTAAGTCCTTTGCTAATGTTGGGAAAGAGGAAGCATACACATTTCACTGAAGAATCAACCAATGCAGAGTATTTCCAGTTTCTCTAAGTGACATCTTACCCCACTTCATCCCTCATGTCAAATCTATGATTCCATGTGCATGATCTACAGTCTATTGTTCAGGTGTATATCCCATGAGAGTCACCAAGCACGACAGTATATTGATGTCGTGCTTTAATGCACGAAATGGAGATGCRAAGAAGGATCATGAACTGGGTTATCAAATACCAGGTGGCCAGATGTGGTACTGTATGGTACAGAGTAGTACTTGGTGCTTCAGGTGGAGACGGTRCCTATATTTCTGAGATTCAAATGGAGTCTTCTATTATTTGCTCCATTCATTCTTCATGCAATTTCATCATTCAGAGACATCCTTCTTTATCATCATCAATTTCAATCATTTAAAGGCAAAAAGGCTAAAGCTAGATCTTTACTTCTATTCAGACATTGCTACAATGCCATTTTTGGAGGAACTGAAGAGACTGCAAAACCAGTTACAAAGTAGAGGGATGAATATGAGTCAAAAATAGCAGGTTAGGCCAAAGTTTTCTTACTCATTTGTGGTATGTTTATGTCAATTCAACATGGGAAGAGGGGGAGTGCAACACAAGACAATCTAAAAGTAGCTTGCAGCTACATTTGCAAAGTGGTTTTCATTATAAACCCTTATTCAGAAAAACTCAAAGAATTTTTACCTTAAGTCCAATTCTAGAAACTTGCTACTATAATAACACAAGTTAAAAACTAGACAAGGCAATATATCAAAACTATTCTTTAAAAGATCAGCTTTAATTTGAAAAACATAATTTTGTAGCATTTGGAATGTATGATCCAAGGTACCATTTATTTAACAACTGCCTGATCTCACAGCGAACCTAAATTCAGATTTTGTAAATGTGAAATGTTCTGGTCATTTCAACTCTTACATTCAAATGCCCCTAAAAGCAGCTTTTAACACTAGCATTTAAAGTTATTTCATGTTTAAAGACAATTATTAACTCAAACATTTGTATAAACCCATCCAATAGCTGCTTTTCACTTGACTGGACTTGAACAATAAATATCACAAATAACCTCCAGATGTCATCACTATTATTTTTGTTGTAAAAACTTCGAAATTAATGAAAATTAAGACCATAGGGAAGGAATTCCTATATAAAAGAAAGCTGCAAGGAAAAAGAAATAAGCCATTCTCTAAATTTATTTGGCATAGTAAAAGGTGCAAATCACCACAAGGAAGACTTCATTTCAGTATTAAGAAAGAACTTGCTCATGACAAGAACAGTTAAGCACTATTAAGAACAGTCGACTAGTAAGATTGCATAATATCTATTATTTAAGGCTTTTATGAATTCCAAAAACCTAGTGGTATCATCTCTTCCTTTAAATCAGTTCTGACAAACTTCACTAAGCCTATTTTATTCAAAATGATGGCAGGAAGCTACCAAGTTTCCTGCTTGTGTTAGTGAACCAAATGAGCAAGCACCTGACAAGCATCAGAGATGGCATAGAGGAAGCAATAATGACACGTGCCCAATGTCTGGGCTTTTAACCTTCAGCAATAATGAGTTATGTCAACTCACCTCATCTCATAAGACTGTATCTTAAAAAATAGATTAAGCAAACAGATTAGACAAACATCTGCCAGTAACAGTGTAAGTACACTTTATCCTTCCTGGGGCTGAGAGGAGTAGACCAGAATTCTCCAGGTCATTGTCAGCACCACTTTATTTTAAAGTTTTAAAAAAGCAACACACAGTCCATTTTGAACACATATAGTGAAACTTTAAGGAAACTGAAATTTTACTTAATATATTAGAGATAAAAAATTGCCTGCTTCAGACTGTCACAATTAAATGGTGTGTGCATTTACCTCATGTATGTCTCCTGTGTAAAATAACCTCTTGCTGGAAGGATAARCCTAAAACATCTTATGACTCAATCATTTCACTTTCAAGCTCTAAGTGGAATATAATTTTCAAGACCTTACATTTTTCAATAAAATCTGCTAAATTAATATTAGTTGTAAAATGCTGGCTCTACATACCAATTTCTTGAGTACGCATTTCGTTTTAYATGTATTGCTCAAAGCTAGCTGGAGCAGAAGACTGAAAATGACAAACACGTAAGAGTTCAGATCTCCTTGAACAGCAATGAAACTGGAATACTCTGAGTCTTGCAAGAGACTTCTAAGGTGAAATTAAGTTCAGGAWTTACATAGAATCATTAATCTTACTGGCGATGCTTCTTAGTCCATCATTTACACCAGCCTGTGATTGCAGGTCTGGTAGACATCCATATCCTATTGTTTGCAGGAGACATCAGGGAAAGGCAAAAAAAAGGTAAAGCTGTATTCTAATCTGATGTCTGATAACAGCAAAGGCTTTCTCACTTAAATATCCTAATTCCTTTTTATTAATGTATAAATTTAGTTACTTGGTTTATGAAAGCAAAATACTACTTGGTCAAGCTCACAYAGTTTTCCATTTTTACAAGTTATTCAAGCACCTCTTCCTGGAACTCTCTGAAATACCTGCAGTACATTGGTCAGAAAACAAAGAATTCATTGACAAGCTTGAAAGTTGGAGGGAAAAAAAACACTTTAAATGTCAATACCATATTTAATTAGCTAAGCTTGTATAAACTTCATGCATCGCCTGTTCTGGAGACCATACAGAAAGAAATAAAATATATATCCTTGACCATTTTGCATATTCCTTTTCAGAAAACCACCAATGCTTCAAACAAGGGAAACTCTTATCTACACAGAACAAAGCGTGCTATATTAGGCTGGACTTTCAAGACGACTTACACATATGGAAAATTTACCATCACAAAGCACAGCTCAGAACAAGCAGTACAAATGGAAAAGATCCTAGCTCAGTTGCTACATGGAAAACTAATTTGTCATAATACCAAAGTTTTTGTCAATTATTACATTTATACTCAGGGAAGGAAGCATTGTTAACRTATGTTCATCTTCATTTGCTTGCTAATAATTATTTCTACATGCATTCAAATTTCTCTCATTAACACAGTATTTTGTTGATTCTTCCTGTCCAAACATACATGTGCCTAAGGCTCACACACACACACAGAGCTTCACTGCTACCWAACAGGAGACAAAGCCAAAACTGACTGGCAGCTTGGTACTTTCTACACAGATGTATGTGAAGCAAAGTCACGAAAAAAGTATAATAACTTAGATAAGATATACCAAAAATGTACAGAACAAAAAATTACCATTACACATACATAGAGCAAAGACAACATCTTCTGAAAGGACAACATATTTCACAGCACTTAAACAGACCTTTCAATCTCGACATAGGAAATCCCTCGAARCCAAAACGGGTTGCCTCCCCACCAAAACATATGCTTTCCACCATAATTCCAGATTTTCTCCAGAGACTTCCGCCAGAATATAATTTTATCACTGGGTGCTGGGAAACCATACTAACGCACATCCAGAAATTTAGGGCAGTGCTAACAAGAAAAACCTGCCTTTTGTCCTGATAGTTATAATGACCTTTTTCACAGTATTTCCAACACGATCGGATGAAACAAAATACAGTATAGTTCACACTGTGACTGATGTAATATGGACTAGGAACAATACAGGGGAAATGAAAAAAACCAATGATCTTTGTCTCCTTCTACACAGATTGCCAAGTCTCAATAGTTGGAGGGAGAAAAAAGCAGAGCATCCCAAATAAAACGCTGCAGTGCATGTTCACCATTTCAGTAAAGTCGCTGCAGCTTTTGGCAGCCCCGTAGGAAATTTAGACCCTTCAAAGAAAGCTCAAGCTAACAAAAGAGCTAAAAAACAGCCCTAGCTTAAAAATCACAGGAGAAACAATCCACTGACTGTGAAAATAGCCAAGGAGTTCACCGCTAGCATCGCAAGCGATGCTAAATAGCTCGTCATAAAAATATTAAATATCACGGCAATAGCTAGCCATAAAAATATTAAATGTTATATTTTCCCTCTACCGCCGCTGGTGCTGGGGGGCAGGCGGGCAAGGGCAGCGGGCCCGGTGGCAATGCCTACCTGCGAGAGCTGCCGGGGGTTGGGGCAGCCGAAGAGCGCGGAGCTGGAGCTGAAGCTGATGGCCCCTCTGCGGCTGAGGACGTGCTGCGGCACCGGCCTGTCCAGCGGCAGCACGGGTAGCTGGTAACATACTTCCATTGACGAAGCCTCCGTGCGCCGGCCCGCCGCGGGGCAGCGGCCTCGCCCGCCGCACCTGCCCGCACAGGGCTCGCCGCAGCGGGAAAGGACCGGCGGCAAAGCCCCGCGGGGGCCCGGCGCCTCCTCGCCGCCCCCGCGCCCCCCGGGGGGCCGGGCCGGGCCGCGCCGGGCCCCGCGGGGGGCGCGGGGGCCCCCCGGGGGGCCGGGCCGGGCCGCGCCGGGCCCCGCGGGGGGCGCGGGGGCCCCCCGGGGGGCCGGGCCGGGCCGCGCCGGGCCCCGCGCCTTTGTGCTTCGCCGCCGCCAAAGCCCGGCGGGAGCCGCCGGCGGGAGCGAGGGGTAGGCGGCGGAGCGGGACGGCTCTGTCAGCGCCCGGGGCGGCGAGTCCCGGCCCGCAGCCCGCGGCCGCCGCCGCTCCCTGCCTCAAGCGCGCTGCCGCCGGCGGGAGCCGCTGTCAGCCCCGATGCCCGGCGCCGCGCATGGAGGGCCGGGGGCCGCGCTGGGGGAGACACGCGCCGCGCTCGCCCCTATTGTCCGGCACAGCCGGGAGCGGGAGGAGGAGGCGCCGCTCTGCCGAGGGGAAGGGGCCGGGCCGTCAGAGAGGGGACCCGGGGAGGAGGGGGCGGAGGAGAAGGAGGAGGAGGAGGAGGAGAACGGAGAGAAGAAGGAGTAGGAGGAGGAGGAGGAGGAGGAGGAGGAGGAGGAGGAGGGATGGCGCCTCCGCCCCGCCCGCGCGCGGCGGCCCGGCTGGAGGAACAGGCACGAGCCCGGCGGACCGTGCGTGGGTCGCGCGGCTGGCGACACGCGCAGAGCGGCGTCATCACGTCACCGCTGCCCACACTCTCCCCGTCCGCGCGCACCAGGCAGGGGCGGCTCGGCGGGCCCCGCGCGCCGCGCGCATGCGCCCTGCCCCCTCCCCCTCGCGCCTTCTCAGGGGTCGGGGGCGGCACCGCCCTCCTTCCCGCCCTTCGCTCCCTTCAGAGGCACGGAATGACGGAACGGATTGGGCTGGAAAGGGGTTGGGAGGTCATCGTGTTCTGTGACTGAACACCACCATGTCAGCTAGTCCATGGTACGAAGTGCTATGTCCAACCTTTCTTAAACAGTTCCAAGCAAGGTGACTTTGCCACCTCCCTGGGCAGCCTATTCCAGTATTTAATCATCCTTTCTTGTGAGGAAATTCTTCCTAATTTCCAACCTGACTCTCCTCTGGTGCAGCTTAAAACTATGTCCTCTCATCCTGTCTCTGGTTGTCTGGGAGAAGAGACCAACCCCCACCTGGCTAGAGCCTCTTTTGAGGGAGCTGTAGGGCACTATAAGGTCACCCCCAAGCCTCCTTKTCTCCCAGGAGACCAGCTTCCTCAGCTGGTCCTCATAAGATTTGTGCTCCAGACTGTTCACCAGTTCTATTGCCCTTCTCTGGACCTGCTCCAGCCCCTCAATGTGCTTCCTGCATTGAATAGCCCAAARCTGGACAGTACCCAAGGTGCAGCGTTGCTTGGGTGAGATCCAAGGGGTCCTGGAACCTCCCTGTCAGAAAGGTGGTAAGTGGGGGTTTGCAGGAATGGCATGAGGTTGTGTCAGGAGAGCTTTAGGTCAGATATTGGGAAAAGGTTCTTCACCCAGAGAGTGGTTGGGCACTGGAACAGGCTCCCCAGGGAAGTGGTCACAGCACCAGCCTGACAGAGCTCAAGAAGAGTTTTAACAACACTCTCAGCCACAAGGTGACTCTTGGGGACGGTCCTGCGCATAGACAAGGGTTGGACTATGATAATCCCTTCTGAACAGGATATTCTGTGATGCTGTGTCTGTCAGYCCTCAGTTCCCCCTCCACCTTTTCCCCCTTTCCCATTCACACAGGCTGTACCCTGAGGRCTGGGGGAGTGGCACTGAAGGGGTSGTGGTGTCACCAGGGCCAGATCTGGCTTCTCCAACTGCTCCTGCGAGAGGCTGGGCACGGGTCAGTGCAGCCTGACCTTGAATACCCAACTGGGGCAGCTGCTTGAAAATCAAACACGGAAAGACAAGTTTTGTTTCAAAATGCATTATCCATCAAATGCAATAYACTGGGGAGTTTGTATTTGCATTTGAACCCTTGTGGTTAATTTTTAGAGTATGGAGAGGTGGGGTTTTTTGCAAGACAAACAAGTAAAACCATGTAATTTTTGTTAAAAAATTAGGTTCCTGGCAAACCACACAATTCCAGGAATTGGACTTCAAGGAGAAAAGGAATAATTCATGATGTGATCTAGTCCATGGCTATGTACATCACATTAGCTGGGACACTTAGAAATAAACTTTGCTTTGCTTTTTTTTTTAGGCCTAAACCTCCCTTTGCCTCACTCTGCAGCTGCTTTTTTTTTTCTTTCCATGCTTTCATCTTTTTTCATAAAAAATCCTAAATATAGCATGATAGGTAAAGGAATTTTTCTGTTCTTTGAATAAAATATGAAGTGCCTGTACCCACTTAAAAATCAGATTTTGCAAAATGATTCATATGATTTAATTTTGCATAATACATTGTTCTTCTGAGTGCTTGCTTACTGGCAGAAAGGTTTAGATTTCACATGATAGTGGTTATTTATAGGCAATGACACAGCTTTGGAGGAACCCATTTGGAAAGAATAGGTGGTTTGTATGGAGGATTTTCATCTGTTTGAACYAGTTCTAGAAGCAAGAAGTTTTATAGATGTGGACTGATGGCTGTTTTCATCCTGAGCTAAGAAGTTAACAAATGTACCTCGTTCTTTTCCAGTACTGTAATCCCACCTTGTCTCATGCATAGGCAAAAGAACATAAGGACACATGAGAGAGGACACTGGATCAACTGCTGTGTCTTGAAAGCTTTCTTCCCCTGTTTTTCCCCTTTTTTAAAAAAAATTAAAATGTCATAAGCATTCTCAGTATGATTTTATAATGCCTGCATGCAATAATTCAAAAGATAATACGCACATGGTAGTTCAAACTAAAATRACGTACTCAGCCTTTTTTTCCCAGTAATTAAGACATGTCAGGTTTTCTTCTGCATTCTTTGACAGTTTACTCATATTTGGCCTGCTTACATTAAATCAGCAGTGTCTTTAAGTTACTGATAGACCTCCACCAGCTTCATTGGTGTCAGGATTTCCCTCTCCTAATAATTTTTCAAAATTACTTTTGGCTCTTTTCTGCTAATAATGAATTCGTTTTCTGAATTCAGGATGGATTTTTATTCTAGTAAATCTAAAATTCGGTTAATCAAAAATGTCATTTTTAGAGGGAAAGAATATAAATATTTTCACAATATAAATATATAATTTCACAATATAAATAGTGTATATTTCAATCCTATGTGGTCAAACTATATGTGAAGATTATTGATAGCGTGTTTTATGGTTCCTGTCACCTCTGCATATCTTCCATCTGATTACTTGAAATTAGTTATTTAAGGACACTTTAATTTTCAGTCTAAGCCAGTAAAGCCTTAAATAATATAACCAGTGAGGGTTGTCCCTCAGATTCTCTTTGTTCACTAATTAGAATTATATAAACACCTTTAAGGAAACCGAAATACATTATTATGAAGGAAGCACAGATTTTCCAGGCAATGACTATTTCCATATGTGTGCTGCTCTCAGGACACAAATTGCCATTTTTTAATAAATAGTAAAATTATTAATATTAGCCCAATGTTGATTTATTGAGTGAATTTACAAGGCAGACTCTTAGAGAATCATAGAATGGTTTCAGTTGAAAGTGACCTTAAGTATCATCTAGTTCCAACCTTCAATCTTACCTCAGGATGATAGACAAGAGTCATAAAATTATGAAGGAAGTCACATATTTTCAGCCTGAATAAGTTTGTTAAGGAAAAAAAAAAAAAAGCGTATTCTGTGGCTTATATCCTGCTAATTCTGACTGCTGTCTTTCTTGCCACACAGTAAGAGCTTGTAGAAAAGAGAGTTATATTGATTTTTGTCATAGAGGTATAACAGCACCAAAGTGTTTATTCACAGCATTTTGTTTGAATKAAGTTTCAGCCATGGAGTTCTTTGAGTATCATGCTGTCTTAAATGCATGATAGGATATCATAAAGTGCCTTACTTCAGCCATGTAAGCCAAGCCCCGTGTATTGTGAATTCTTTATCATGGAGATACAGCTATTAATAGAGACTTAATTAGAATATTCAGGTTTATGAAGTGTTAATAATGTTTCAGTGTTGCTTTTCACATTTGCAGTGAATGTCTTTTATACAACATTATTATTTTCAGGGTGCTGTCTAGCAAGGAAGAAACATTACTGATGGACAGATTTATCACAAAGAACAGCACTCATGAAACTGGAGAGATGGAAGATCACAAAATCMGAGTTAGTTTAGTTTCCTGGTTACTGTGAAAAGAGGATGAAATCACACAGGTACTCCAGCAAGACATTCTGCTGGGTTAACGGCAGAGTGCTGGGCATGGAGTGCCTCTCTGGGGCACAGCCARCTAATACTGGCAGAACTGAACAGTCTGAACAGAAGAGGATGCTTTTCCCCTGTTCTTTGTTCAAAATGGAAATAAGGATCCTCAAAGGCATAACGTGCTTGTACTTTGAAAACACCATGAGAGCAGAGGAAATATTTATTTGTACAGGTACATGATCAAAACAAGCCCAAGAGGCTGTAGCTTTTCTCCTTACCTGAAAAAATTACGTGGTATAAAAGTCAGGGTTATTTCTGTAGGCAAGTAAAAAGTCTCTTCATTTGCTACATCCCCAGTAACTGCATTATTAGACATTGCTTTCGGCATWTCTTTGGCATGTAACCAGATAGTCCTTTTTTTCTACCCAGAGTTATTATAATACTGTATATTTGAGATATCGGGCATCTCAGTGGATCTTCTGTCCCTATTTGGTGTGCCCTTCCCTCTGCCTTGTCCTGTATCTATGTTGAGCTTATTTTAATTGTTGTGGCAATACAACCTTCTCATCTCTTCTTTGGTTTGACATSCCCTGCACCCTGAATGTTTTCTGCAGAACTCTGCATCATCCCCTCAGTGTGTTCATCCTTCCTGAGTGGGATAATTTGCACTTGCCTTTACCTGAGTGGATTGTATTTTCCTCAACCCACTTTTTCAGTTG